TCCGCCTCCTCCTCCTCCTCCTCCCTCCTACTCCTCCTCCTGCCTCCGCCTCCGCCTCCTCCTCCTCCTCCTCCTCCTCCTCCTCCTCCTCCTCCTCCTCCTCCCACCCCCGCACCCTTTTCCGCCGTACGTCCACAGGCAGCCCCAGCGTGGCACGGGGCCAGGCCACAGCGGTCCCCAGCGCGGCGAGGGGTTGGGCCACGGCGGCGCAGAAGGGATGCAGAGGGGTGCCCTTCCCCCACCAGCAGGACGCAGCACGGTGGATTTCGAACTTCACGACCCCAGCGGATACGGTGAGGTTTGCACCGGTGTCCACCAGCAGAGGGGCACCCACCAGGACGCAGGAGAGAATAGCCTGGAAGAGGATCCCAGACGCGAGCCATCGCGGGCGGGGAGCACAAGTGGCGTCCCCTGGCGAAACAAACAGGCAGAGCCACCCGCCACCCCCCCAGCGGCCGCGCAGGAGCCTCGAAGCCCGGGGCCCACAGAGGGAGAGCGGCCCTCCGACGAACGGGGGCGACGCCCTGCCGCTAGCGCATGAGGGGCTCGGGGAAGCACGCCAGCGCGGACCCCGAGTTCGGGCGGAGCAAGGCAGCTCGCGACCCGAGTGGCACGGCCCCAGGAGCAGCAGGAGCAGCAGGAGCAGCAGGAGCCCCACGGCAGCAAGCAGGAGCAGCAGGACCCCAGCGCGGCGAGGGGTTAGGCCACAGCCAGCCCCAGCGTGGCGAGGGGTTAGACCACAACGGTCCCCAGCGCGGCGAGGGGTTAGGCCACAGAGGACCCCATCTCGGCGAGGGGTTATGCTGAGTCGGACCCCAGCGTGGCAAGGGGTTAGGCCACAGCAGACCCCAACGCGGTGAGGAGTTAGGCCGCACAGGACCCCAGCGCGGCGAGGGGATAGGCCGCAGAGATCCCCAGCGTGGCGAGGGATTAGGCCACAACGGAACCCAGCGCGGTGAGGGGTCAGACCGCAGCAGGCCCCAGCGTGGCGAGGGGTCAGGCCACAACTGACCCCAGCGCGGCGACGGGTTAGGCCATAACGAACCCTGCGCGGCGAGGGGTCAGGCCACAACGGAACCCAGCGCGGAGAGGGCGCAGGCCGCAGAGACCCCCAGCGTGGCAAGGGGTTAGGCCACCACGATCCCCAGCGCGGCGAGGGCTTAGGCCGCAGCGGACCCCGGCGAGGAGGAGGGTAGCCGCCGCCAGAGCTCTCCCTGGAGGAGCGAATGGCAGAGGAGCGGCAGCGGCCGTCCATCAGGCTGCTCTCCAAGCTCTGAGCCCAGGGTGAGCAGCAGCCACAACGACGCTGCCGCCCGAAGGGAGCCGCGATTCACTGAGTCGGCAGCGACGGGCGGCGAGGCAATGAGAAGGGTGCGTGCTGAGGCCGCGGGCCCACCCTCCCGCGGGCGCGTGCGGGCGCGCCCGCACAGGGTTCCGAGACCCCTGGCACGCTTGCGCACGCCAGAGCACGCGTGTTAACTTCCTCCTCCTCCTCTTCCTCCTCCTCCTCCACCTCCACCTCCACCTCCTCCTCCTCCTCCTCCTCTTCCTCCTCCTCCTCCTCCTCCTCCTCCTCCTCCTCCTCCTCCTCCTCCTCACGATGCCCTCATCCTGGTTCTGCTCCTCCTCCCACTCCTCCCCATCCTCAACCTCGTCCTCGTCCTCGTCCACCTCTCTCCTCCCGGACACTGCCCCCACCCCTCCACCCCCCCGCGCGCGCGGGGCGCGGGGCAGGCACCACCGGAGGGCGCCGCGGGCGTGGAACGCGGTGGGCCGGGGGGGGTCCTCGCCAGGGGCAACGATAGGGGGGATAGGCACAGGGGGGGCGCATCGACCCCCGATCGCCCACTGATCGTCGATATGGGCCCGGTGGCCCCAACTTGCCCAGGAGCGTGCGGATTCACGATCGGGGTCCTATCGCCGATCTATCGGCGATGTATCGCCCATTCGAGGTCGATGCCACCACCCCTATGCCTATCTCCCCCATATCGTTGCCCCTCACTTCGGGGCCCAAGAGGGGGTCCAGCTGCAAGGGGGTGGCGCCATGGATTTAGGGCAACCGTATCGCCAATGCGCTGCGCCAGAGCACTTCTATTGCATCGTACGTCGACGAAGAAAACGGCATATACATACGTTTTGGCGCTCCGCGCGGATTTCGTGGATCCGCGCTGGGCCCCGCTGGCGGCGCCTCCAGCGCCGCCCCTGGCGCGCTCCGCGCGCCGGGGAAGGGGGGGTCCAGCGCAGATCTGAGAAATCCGCGCGGAGCACCAAAAACTAATGTTTATGCCGTTATGGTTCGTGCTGTTGGGGCAACTGTATTGCCAATGTATTGCGCCAGAGATGTTCTATTGCATCGTATTGCAACTCATGTTTGCATGCGAAGTTCCAGCAATACACTTGCTCACCAGAAGGTGTTGCACACCCCCAATTTCCGGTAACCCCACAAGATTGGTGCACCAGATCTCTTGCACCACTCGGAGGTTGATAAATCTCCTACCCGGACACGTCGATTAGCGAATTGGCCGTTTTCGGTTCGCGAGAGGGCGTAGCGGCCGTCATTTTGCGGGTCCAGGTCCGTCGGTTTCGGTCCTAAGCCGTTTTCGCTCAAGGGAGATTTGCTACAGAGGAGGTGAAGGAAGAGGAGGAGGAGGAGGAGGAGGAGGAGGAGAGAGGAGGAGGAGAGAGGAGGGGAGGTGGGAGAATCGGAAGGAGGACGAGGGCGATGGAGAGTAGCGAGTAGGAGAGGTGGAGGACGAACGAGGATGGGGGATGCGGGGGGCGAAAGGAGGAAGAGTAGCGCAGTGCAACGCAATGCAACGCATTGTGTGACGGTGCCGGACAGAAACGATTGATGCTGGGTTTCAGGGTGTACATCCTGAGGCGGAAGGGGGGAGGAGGAGGAGGAGGAGGAGGAGGAGGAGGAGGAGGAGGAGGAGGAGCAGGAGGAGCAGGAGGAGCAGGAGGAGCAGGAGGAAGAGCAGGAGGAGGAGGAGGAGAATGTCGATTCTCAGAAATTCTTGGGGTTAGGAAATTGTCTGCACTATGGTGGAAGGAAACCGTCGGCTCAATAGGATTCCTGTCGCACGTGTGATCGCCCGGGCGCAGTTTGGTGGCTGCCTTGGGGGACCGAGTAAGGGAGGAGGGTGACGGAGGGGGAGGAGGCGGACGAGGATGAGAATGAGGTGGAGCATAGGCTTAGGAGTCTGGCTCTGGTTTTGAAAATCCCTGGTTTGGCGTTTCCTGGGGTTCTGGGTTTCGCCTCCTGGCGAATTCGGGTTTCACTTGGCGGTTCCAGGCTTCGCCCGGAACGCTTCTGGGTTTCGCCACGCGCGGAAATCTGGGCTCCGCCCAAAAGATTAACGCTTTGGGCCGAGGGTGTTGGGCTTAGGACTTGGGGTTTGGGCTCGGGCGCAGGGCTAAGGGCCGAGGGCTAGGCGCTTACGGTTAGGGCTTAGGGCTTGGGGATAAGGGTTTAGGGATTAGGGCGTAGTGATTCGGGCTTAGCACCCAGTGCTTAGGGTATGGTTTTGGGCTTTAGAGCTTATGGCTCTAGGCTTAGATTTGGGGGACTCCGGGCCTCAGAGATTTTGAGTTTGGGATTATGGCTTAGGGGTTCAGCGCGTGGGGATTAGGGTTCAGGGCTTAGGGCTTATGGCCCTGGCTGGAGGGCTTGGGGATTCGGGCACAGGGAGGGTCCCAGGGCTGCGAATTCCGGGCGCAGGGTTCCGGATGTAGGTGCGGGCGTAGGTTTCAGGGTTGAAGGTAAAGGGCGTAGGGTTAAGCGAGGACGGTTTAGGTCGCGTGAGTTGAAGGCGCACAGACTTGGGTGCAGGGCTTCGAGCGTTCGCTCTGGTGTCTGGACGGAGTGTGGCTTTGGGCAGGCGTTCGGATACTGAAGGTATCGATTCCGGGCTTGGGGAATGGATGGGTTGGGAGTCTGCCGGGATTTCTGGGTTTGCCCTTTCGATGTTGTTGTTGTTGTTGTTGCCATTTGCGATATCTAGTCGTGCCACCCAAATTTCTCGGCTTGCCATTCAACGTCATGGGTTTGCCCTCTGGAAGTTCTTGCCTACGGGATTTCTTGGGCTGCCTCTCGGCCTACAAATGCATTCCTTGTCTGCAGGTGTTACATACATATTTCCTTGTGTGAGGACTTGCCCATAGATGCCCTATGTGGGCGGTGGAAAACCAAAACAACACAAGGAACACCAAACAACAAATCAGGAGACCAAGCACCCAGGACTGAAACACGCAAACATCCAAAGCGAAATGATCCAGACATTTCAAGACTTACTCACTCAAGGTCCCACTGCTCCACAATTAGTTAAACCAGATGAATACTACTCTCTCCCTCCTCCCCTGAAATTTCCCAAAAGACCTCCCGCCCCTCCGCGTGCTTCTATACAACCCAGGACTTCAAAGCATGACCTTTCTCGTGCTGTGTTGTAATCCGATTGTTGGTGGTGTTTCAAAATGGTGCTCCCGCTGCAGCGCGGGCCTCATTTTCGGATCGGCGTTTTGCTCTCGTCGTTCGGAATGGCGCTCTCGCCCCAACGCGGGCCACTTTGCTGGATCCGAGTCTTGCTTCATTGTGGTCCATCCCTCATTTCCCCTCCTCTGCCTTCCCCTGGTCCTCCTATTCCTCCCGGTCCTTCCACTCCAGTCTTTGCTGCTGCTCTTCGTCTCGCCCCAGCGCGGGCCACTTCTGAATCCGAGTCTTTCTTCATCGTTGTCGCTCCCCTCATTCCCCCTCCTCTGCTGTCCCCTGGTGTTCCTTGTCCTCTCGATCCTTCCGCTTTAGTTCTTGTTGCTGCTGTTCATCCTCATCCGAATTCTCCCGCTCGTTCTCCTGCTCACCCGCCACCTCCTCCTGTGCACGCAACTCTCGGTTTTTCCGATTGCGGAATGACACGGGGTGGTCTTTCTGTGGGAGTCGCAGGTCGGCTATGACACGCGTCCGCGGACAATGAAACATCAGCGCCGTGGGAAGGGACGGGAGGGAGGGATACAATGTCAGATGAGGCGCGAGCGCACCTAGCTTGACCGTACCCTCTCTCCTCGGTCCACTCCTCTTCCCCCGACGGAGGTCGATGGACGGCGGACGGAATCTTCAGTCCTACTCCCCGCTTTCCGTTCGTCACTCCTCACTCCTCACTCGTCCTCGTCTTCCCTCCTCCATCCTCGCGCCTCACTCCTCACTCCTCCCCTTCTCATCCTCCTCCTACTCATCCCCCCTCTCCCTGCATGTTCACTCATCTTCGCATCCTTCCCTTCTCACTCCTGCGTCATCTTCCCTCCTTTCTCCTCCCACCCCTCGGGGAGTAGGAGCGAGGCGTGAGGAGGAGGAGGAGGAGGAGGAGGAGGATGGGACGAGGAGGAGGAGGAGGAGCAGGAGAAGGGGCAGGAGGAGAAGGAGGACCACTGCAAACACAAGACACATCAGCGATGTTGAAATACACCCTCCATCCAAGATCTTTTGTCATAGGCCCCATATAAGGGGTCCTTGTCACGCTGGGGGACAACCGTGTGAACATATTGAGGCGTACCAGAACACACCATCCCCAGGAATTCAACGCAACGAGTTAACTTGATTGCTACGTCCTGTCAATCCTGAATCCTGCCGGAGCACCATTCTTGGGCATACAACACCGCGAATCAGCGTAATTGTTGCGCCCAGCCCCACGAGGAGACCCCCAAGAGGCCGAAGTCAGTGAAACCATTGTGTCGTGTTGAACGTTTCCTTTTGATTCCCCCATGTTCGCGACCGATAGGCTCTTGAGGCCTCAAGATGGCTCCTGGCACGTCAACCATGAGAGTCCGTGAAACTCTTGCACATGTTTAAGACGAGTGCACGCGGCGCTAAGGCGAGAGCCGCACTTTGAAAACCAACCGCCCTCAATCCGTGGAACGATTGCGCTGTTGTGTTGAACGAATGTGCGCGGCGCTAAGGCGAGAGCCACAGGTTGAAAACGGCCCGCCCTCAATCCGTAAAGCTCTAGGACCTGTTTGAAACGAATGCGCGCGGCGTTAAGGCGAGAGCCACATGTCGGAAGCGGCCCGCATTCCATGTGCCAAACGGTTTGGTAATGTTTAAGCACCGAATTCATAAATTGTGGGGAAGCGTCAGGCGAAACGCCCGGCCCGCCTTTTCGATCAGCCTCGGGGTGCGACAGGGAGGTATGGTCGCCCCCCCCCCTGGTATCATACCATTCGCCGTTCTGCGAACGGCGACTGCGAACGGCGAATGATATGATACCAGAGGGGGGGGGAGAGGAGTAGGGGGGAGAGGAGTAGGCGAAGGAGACGGAGGAGGGTGGTTTTCCTTTTTTCCCCTCCCGCCCTCGGAGGCGGAGTTGTTTTTTTCCATGTGAAAACACAGTTGTTTCCATATTTGTCTTTTTTCCCTCTTTTTCGGGCCCTCCCTGGGGCGGCGGGGAAACCCCGAGGGGCCGAACGGGAGAGCGAAAAACAGGAAAAATATTAAAAATCCGGGAAAAAATGTGTTTTCACCGGGAAAAAGAGGAAAAAAATCCGCCTCCGAGGGCAGGGAGGAGGAAAACAATGAAAAAACACACCCTCCTCCGTCTCCTCCGCCCAGCCGACTCTTTGACTCAACGTTCCCGCCCGTTTTCTGCCGAATTCCGTTCCTCTTTCTCTCGTTATCTCTCATCTCTTCTCCTCCCCCTCTCTCTCTTGACTCTCTCTCTCTCTCTCTATCCTCCTTCCTCTCTTGACTCTCTCTCTCTCTCTCTCTCTCTCTCTCTCCTCCTCTCCTCTCCCTTCCTCTCTCTCTCCTCCGCCCTCTCCTCCTCCCTCTGTCTCTCTCCTCCCTCTCTTGACACTCTCTCCCTCTCTCTCTCTCTCTCCTCCTCTCCTCTCCTCCCATTCCAGGTACCCCGCCCCGCCACAAAAGGAATCGATATGTAAATCCGCTTCCCCCGTGTCCACTTCCGCCTCGTACTCTTCCTCCTCCTCATCATCTTTCTCCTCCCACTCCACACAAGGAATCCATGTGGAGGCCCCTCCACATAAGGGATCGATATGTGAAGGGCCTCCCACATAAGGAATCAATGTGGGTACAGGCTCCTTCACATAAGGAACTCATCTATGAAGGCCCCTCCCACATAAGGATTCAACATGTTGGAGGCCCCTCCACACAAGATATCAATATGGAGACTCCTTGCACATAAGGAATCAATATGCGGCGGCCCCTCCGCAGGACAAACTCAATATGTGGAGGCCCCTCCACATAACGAATCTATGTTCGAAGGCCCATCCACATAAGAAGTCAATGTGGAGACCCCTTTGACCTAAGAAATGAATATGTGGAAGTCCTTCCACAGACGAAATCAACATGTGGAGGTCCCTTCCACATAAGGAATCAATATGTGGAGGACTCCCCCCCCCACAAGAGGAATCAATATGCGCGAGGCCCCTTGCACATAAGGAAAGAATATGGGGGAGACCCCTCCGCAAAAGGAAACAATATCATCTTTCTCCTCCTCATCTTTCTCCTCCTACTCCTTCTGCTCCTTCTTATCCTCAACCCCTGCGCCAGAGCGGGAGGAGGAGGGGGAGGAGCAGGAGGAGGAGGAGGAAAAGGAAATCGCCCGCCGCAAAAGAATTCAATTGGTGGAGGTCCCTCCACAGACGGAATCAACATGTGGAGGCCCCTCAACTTAAGGAATCGATAATTTGAAGGCCAATCCACATAAGGAATCAATAAGTGCAGACCCCTTCCAACATAAGGAATCAACAAGTGGGAGGACCCTCCACAAAAGAAATCAATATGGAGACCCCTTGCACATAGGGAATCAATATGTGGAGGTCCCTCCACAGACGGAATCAACATGTGGAGGTCACTTCCACGTGAGGAATCAATATGTGGAGGATCCCCCACAAAAGGAAACAATATCATCTTTCTCCTCCTCATCTTTCTCCTCCTACTCCTTCTGATCTTTCTTCTCCTCTACCCCTGCGCCGGAGTGAGAGAAGGAGGGGGAGGAGGAGCAGAAGGAGGAGGAGGAAAAGGAGATCGCCCGCCACAGAACGAATCAATATGTGGAGGTCCCTCCACAGACGGAATCAATATGTGGAGGCCGCTCCACATATGGAATCGATATTAAAAGGCCCATCCACATAAGGAATCCATATGTGCAGGCCCTTTCACATAAGGAATCATTATGTGAAGGCCCTTTCCACATAAGGAATGAACAAGTTGGAGGCCCCTCCATATTTGAAATCAATATGGAGATCCTTGCTCATAAGGAATCAACATGTGGAGGCCCCTCCTCAGACGGAATCAACATGTGGAGATCCCTTCCACGTAAGGAAACACTATTTGGAGGATTCCCCACAAGAGGAATCAGGCCCTTTCCAAAGAAGGATTAAACGAGTGGGAGGCCCCTCCACACAAGATATCATTATGGAGGCCCCTTGCACATATGGAATCATTATGTGGAGGTCCCTCCACAAATGGAATCAATATGTGGAGGCCCCTACACATAAGGAGTCGATGTTTGAAGGCCCTTGGAACGACGAACATATGCAGAGAAGCCGGATCAACGATAAACGAGTAGAAGGAACGACAATGATAATGAAGAGTAGGAGGGACAATAAAGAGTAAAAGGAACAAGGGCGGTAAGGAAGCTTGCGAAGGGGAAGAAGATGACGAGGCCCTGCAACGGAGAAGGGTGGGAGGAAGGAGGAGGGACGAGGGGTGAGGGAGGAGGGAGGATCGGGAGGATAACGAACATAATCAAAAGGAGAAGGAACGAATCATAGAAAGAAATGCAGCGGGAAGGAACGACACCGATGCGGACGGAGAGTGGGCAGCATACGAGGGGAAGGGCTGACAAAGACAGAAGTGGGAAGTATCGAAGACAAGGCAAATGGTATGATACCAGGGGGGCGAGCATATATATATATATATATATATATAGATGCATAAGGAAAAGGAATAGAGTGAAAGGCGGGGGCGCGAGGAGGAAGGGGAGTGGAATGAGAAGACATGGGGACGGTGGAGCAGTGGAACGGCAGAGTGAGTGAGTATTGAGTTTTGTGCTCGGTGTGTTAGCTTAGTCGCCTGTGTTTCCCATCCTAGGTGTGGTTTCTTCGTTCCCAATCCTCCTGTGTTGGGTTCTCGTCTTGAATCAAGCTCTGTGGTCACGTCTTCTCCTTCCCTCTCATCCTCCTCTTCCTTCATCCTACTCTCCTGCGTCCTGCTTGCGCCGCAACCCCGTTGAAACCTCGCGGCTCCCTGGGGAGCTGCGAACTATGGAAGTGTCGCCACTTCCGTGGGCTCCTGGGAGGTCGCGCGGAGGGGGGTTACACGGGGATCCAGTTGAGACCTCGCGGCTCCGTGCAATTGTCGCCGCGGTCGTGGGTTTCTGGGAGGTCGCGCGGAGTGGAGTTACACGTGGATCCAGTAGGGGCTCCCTGGGGGTCTGCGAAGCGTGCGCTTGCCGCCATGTTCGCCGGTTCTTGGGAGGTCGCGCGGAGTGGCATTACACGGGGCCCAGTCGAGACCTCGCGGCTCCTCGGATGGTTGCAAAGCGTGACATTGTCGCCGCGGTCGTGGGTTTCTTGGGAGGTCGGGCGGAGCGGAGGTACACGGGGACCCAGTTGAGATCTCCTTCCTCCCTTGGGGGGGCTGCGACGCGTGCAGTGGTCGCCTTTTTTTGTTTCGTCGGCTCCGGGGAGGTCGCGCGGAGTGGAGCTACACGGGGCTCCAGCTGAGACTTCGCGGCTCCCTGGGGGGCTGCGAAGCGTGCAATTGTCGCCACTCTCGTGGGCTCCTGGGAGGTCGCGCGGAGTGGAGTTCCACGGGGATCCAGTTGAGACTTCGCGGCTCCCTGGGGGTCTGCGAAGCGTGCGCTTGCCGCCATGTTCGTCGGTTCTTGGGAGGTCGCGCGGAGTGGCATTACACGGGACCCAGTCGAGACCTCGCGGCTCCTCGGATGGTTGCAAAGCGTGACATTGTCGCCGCGGTCGTGGGTTTCTTGGGAGGTCGGGCGGAGCGGAGGTACACAGGGGACCCAGTTGAGATCTCCTTCCTCCCTTGGGGGGGCTGCGACGCGTGCAGTGGTCGCCTTGTTTTTTTCGTCGGCTCCGGGGAGGTCGCGCGGAGTGGAGCTACACGGGGCTCCAGCTGAGACCTCGCGGCTCCCTGGGGGGCTGCGAAGCGTGCAATTGTCGCCACTCTCGTGGGCTCCTGGGAGGTCCAGCAGAGTGGAGTGGCGGTTCCTTGGGGGGCCACCTGCTCGGAAGCAAAACAGCGCATCGCATTTGCACCGTTCATCGCGACACGCTGTTTTGTCCTGCCTATGTAGCGGTCGGCGATGTTCCTGTGATTGGACATGTACGTCCCCCCCGCACCCTTCTCCGCATGCTTCCGCTCCCGTCCCTATCTTGCCGTTTCCCACGTGTTGATGTTGTGTATTTCTGGGAGCCCATGCGCGCCGCGAGTCCTTCAGCATGTCTGTTGGTAGTGAGCGGTCTCAAATCGATTCGCCATATGTTTAGAAAAGGGTTTGGCACGTCACCCGGGAAGTATTGTTGTTTCCCATTGGTTGTTCAAGTTCTTCACCTCCCAGCTGGAGGAGGAGGCGGCGAAGGCGGAGGCGGAGGAGGAGATGAGGGAAGAGGAAGAAGAGGAGGAGGAGGAGCAGACGAAGAAAGCAGATGAGGAGTAGGAGACGTCTGAGGAGGAGGAGGAGGAGAAGAAGGTGGAGGAGGAGACGACCAAAAAGAGAGAGGAATGTAGAGAGAGAGAGAGAGAAGCAGAGGGAGAGAGAGAGAGAGAAAGCGAGAGAAAGACAGAGAGACACACATATATATATAGAGAGAGAGAGAGCGAGAGAGAGAGGACATAAACAGGATAAGGCAACGGAGCGCGAAACCTTGGCGTTGAGGTCGGCCCTGGGGTAGATCTCTGGAATCGGCGTCACACCGACGTACTCATACCAGATGTGCGTCGCAAGCCCAGGGGCGCCGCGCGCACCGAGAAGTCTCGCAGCACACACGCGCCGTGGCGGGCGCTTTCCGGCCACACCGCTCGGGCAACGATATGCTGCAAGATGGTTCGACGATGCCTGTCCGGGTCGGACGCCCGCCTCCAAGGCGGACGTCGCAGGCCTAGAGGTTGACACCAACACCAATATCGGCGGTGTTCCCCCGCCGAGGGAAGAAGATCCCGATCTCGGCGATGGTGGTAATATTCTGGCTTCCAAGGTGACCGAAATATTACCACCAACACCGAAATCGAGGATCATCTTCCCCCTCTGGAGGCAAACCCCTGTCTTGGTGTTGGTGCCCACTTCCAGGCCTCCAAGGACGTGCAGTATTGGCATGTCTTTGCACGTCCCGTGGACAGCGGGAGGAGGGGGAGGAGGGGTGGGGGGGGGGAGGGAGGAGGGAGAGGGGGGGAGGGGCGGAGGGGAGGGGAGGAGGGATGAGGGGGAGGGAGGGGGGGGGAGGAGGGGGGGAGGAGGGGGGGAGGAGGGGAGGGAGGAGGGGAGAGGAGGTGAGGGGGGAGGAGGGAGGGGGGGGGAGGGGAAGAGGGGGGGGGGGGAGGAGGGGGAGGGAGGAGGGGAGGGAGAGGAGGGGGGAGAGGGAGGGGGGGGGGAGGAGGGGGGGGGGGGAGGAGGGGAGGGGGGAGGGAGGAGGGGGGGGAGGAGGAGGGGCGCTGTGCCCCCCCTCGAAGCGCCCACGCCGGCGGCCCCGGAGCCCGCCGACGGCCGGGCGCCGCGCTGGGGCGCCCGGCCCGCCCGCGCATGGCCTCGAGGCGGCCCGCCGGCCGCCCGCCCCGCCCCCGCACTCGAGCAGCGGCGAAGCGTCCTGGCTCGCCTAATAGCCCTACCAAAACGACGCGAAGATCGGGACAAAATCGGATCGGGGTAACTCGAAATCTCGGAGGATCGGCGGGTTTGGAGGACGTGTTGGGCGCCGCGGCCGCTCCAGAGCGCTCCGGTACGCTCTGGAGCAGCGGCGAGGCGTCCTGGCTCGCCTAATAGCGGGGAAGCGTAAGACTCGAGTAAGCCGGAACTCGGGTTTGCCGACGTTTTTGTTGACGAGCGCGTCCTGGATTTGGACGGTCCGGTTTTCGTGGGATGTCTGCAGCGGGAGCTCGCGTCAAATTTCAGATTGGGCTTCGCCACGTCAAGCCAACCCGAGTCCCCCGTACCCGAGTCTTACGTCTCCCCGATAATAGCCCTACCAAGCAATGTTCTAAGAACCTTTTGTGGTGTCCAGGAGATGTTCTTAGAACACGTCTGGCTGGGACTGTCTTGTTTTAACACATCGGGTTTGTGTTCTAGGAACATTGCTTCTGTTCTTAGAGCATGCTTGGGGTTCTAAGAACATGGCGTGGTATGACTATAGTAATGCCGGCACGGTCGGTCCCTGCTCAACTCACCGAAGCGCGAGCAGCACGGCGCCAGAAGTGTCATCGTCCTTCCCAGAAGTTGTCACCGCAAGCACATCTCAAAGCCATCACCATCAGCAGCAACATCATCGTCAACGTCCTCATCCTCTTCATCAGCATCATCATCAGCATCATCACCATCGTCGTCATCATCGTCATCGTCAGCAGCAGCAGCAGCATCATCATCACCATCATCATCATCATCATCATCATCATCATCATCATCGTCATCATCGTCATCGTCATCGTCATCGTCATCGTCATCAACATCATTGTCTGCATCATCATCATCATCACCATCATCATCAGCATCACCATCATCACCATGGTCACCATCAGCATCATCATCATCAACAAGACTCACCCACTCGCCGCGGCTTCGTCGTCGTCGGTCGTGGTCGTGGTCGTCGTGGTCGTCGTCGTCGTCGTCGTCGTCGTCGTCGTCGTCGTCGTCGTCGTCGTCGTCGTCATGGTCGTCGTCGTCGTCGTCGTGGTCACTGGTCGTCGTGGTCGTGGTCGTGGTCGTGGTCTTCGTCGTCTTCGTCGTCGTCGTCGTCGTCGTCGTCGTCGTCGTCGTCTGGGGTCAGCGCTGACGGGGCTCAGCCCACCCCCCCTGGCCGACCCGCATCTCGGAGCCGCGTGGGGCCGATCCCCTCCTCGGCCGCCTTCGGCCGGCCCCCGGGGCCCGGGAGCTCTACCGCGCGGCGGGCCGGGCTCCGCGGCCGGGCTCCGGGGCTCGTGCCCCGGGTGCGGGCGAGGTGCGCCCCCGAGCCCGCAGGCCGGCCGCGGCGGTGTGGCCCTCCCCCCCCCCGGGGACATGCGACGTCTCGTCGGCGGGCGGTGTGCCCCCCCCCCCCCCCCCGGACATGCGACGTCTCGGCGGCGAGCGAGGGGGGGGAGGGGGGAAGCGAGAAGGAGAGGGCCTCCCTCAGAAGGCGGGCGGCCCTCTCGGGAGCCCTCGCGCCGCCTGAAAAGAAAGCTGCCTGCGTCTTCGGGGAAGGCGTCGGAAGCGTCTCGGGAAGGCCTGGGGACTCCCGAGCCTTCTGAGGAGGCCGTCTCCTTCTCATCTCCCCCCTCGCTCGCCGCCAAACGTCTTGATTTTTTCAGGACGGCGCTCCTGGAAGTCCCGACCCTCTCCCCAGGACCTGTTTTTCGTCCCGAGGCGTCTTCCGACGGCCCCAAGGCCTGGCGAGGGCCCCCCCAGGGCCGAGAATAGCCAAACACCTCCCGTCCTGATTTTTTTTGCCACGACGCGATCATGTCTGGGGACCCCTACCCCCCCAGCGATCCAGGGAAGGGAAGCAAGGAGCGGCCGGCACCGGCACGATTTGCCAACCCAGACCCCCCACGTAATGATTTTTTCATTACGTCGACCCCCAGAGGTCCCGACCCTTTCCCTATGACCGGCTTTGCATCCTGAGTCGTTTTTTGACGCTCCCGAGGCCCGGTGAGGGCCCCCGGAGGCTGAAAATTAGGAAAAACCTCCCGTCGTGATTTTTTCATTGCTCGAGGGGGTCTGGGAAGGAGGTCCACGCCCGCTTCTGGTGGCATCGGCGACGCCACGACGCGATGATGTCCGGGTCCATCGCGCGCTCGCCAGCCGCGCCGCGGCCCTCCGCTCCCCGACGGGCTCGCGCGCCGCGCACAGACGTCACGGCGGGAGGCGCGGAGCCCCTTGGCCGGGCCTCGGGGCCGTCAAGAAACGACTCGGGATGAAGAACGGGGCCCAGACATGATTGCGTCGGTCAGTAGATTCTTATATAGATATATGCATATATATATGTGTATATATATGTATATATATATATATATGTATATATATGTGTGTGTGTTTTAAAAAAGTCTGGGGGTTCTGGCTATTTCTCGGCCCCGAGGGGCCCTCGCCGGGCCTCGGGGCCGTCAAGAAGCGGCTCGGGACGAAAAACCGGTCCTGCTAGGGTGGGCGGGGGACCTGCTTAGTCTCTGATGGACATTGTAAGTCTTAAAGACCTCACTACTAAGTCTTTTATAAGTCGTTACTAACTCCTCTTGGTGCGCTAAGTGACTTATAAGTCTCTGGGCGGGACTAAGCAAGTCCAAAACAAAGCAATGCGTTTTCCGTCGGGATGGTGCGTTTTCCGTCGGGATGGTGCATTTCCCGTCGCGACGGTGCATTTTCCGTCGGGGTGGTGCATTTTCATTCGGGCCCGTCCAGATCAAGTCTTTCCATCGCGCATAGCATGAGTATATCGCGCGTAACACAGGTTGTCGGCAAAGAACGTTGTTGGATGATTGGTTCGCTAAGTTGCGGACAATGTCACTGACCGACTGGACTGGGTTGGCAACGTGTTCTAACATGCGTTTGTTGCAAGCGAACAAGCGTACAAATCGCGGCGCAATTCGCGGCGCAATTAATGGCGCAACCTGCGTCGCGGGGCACGAAGCGGGACAAGACAGACAGAGGCGCATGAACCACGTGCGTAGCCGTTTCTGGCCCTCTGGCTATTCTGCTCGCTTCTGGCTAGTATGCTCGCCCTTTTCCTCCTCCTCGTCCTCCTTCTCCTCCTCCTCCTTCTCCTCCTACTTATCCTCCTCCTCCTCCTCCTTCTCCTCCTCCCCCTCCTCCTCGTCCTCCTCCTCCTTCTCCTCTTCGTCGTCATCCTTCTCCTTCCTCTTCCTCCTCCTATTCATCATACTTCTCCCCACTCCTTCATCCATCCATCCGTCCAGCCTCCTCCTTCTCCTCATCCCTCCTTCGCTCGGTTCGGCTGTCCCCTTCTTTGCTCCTGTGCACACTTCCCTGGTCGCCTCAACTCGCATGCACGTCGTCTCTGGATGGGTTGGCGGGGATACGCGAAGCGTCAACAATTACAAGGTACGTTGCGCAGCGGGTGCAACATGGGTTGCATCGTGGGTTGCGCGACGCGCCATTGTTTGCGCCATAGGGCGGGCCGTGGGGACGCTTTGAGTTTTACCGTAGGTCGCGCCAGTCCTGAGCCGCGCGACACGCCAGTTCGCCATCTCTTTTCTTCGGCAAACGTGAGGTAGCCCCCGATCAATGTCAGCATGTCCCAACAGACTTCGGGATTCACAATGCATCATCAACTTAGTGCGTTTTCCGTCGGGATGGTGCGTTTTCCGTCGGGATAGTGCATTTTCCGCCAGGATGGTGCATTTTCCGTCGGGGTAGTGCGTTTTCCTCCAGCAGAGGGGAGTTGCTAATGCCTTATCAAAGACTTGTAAGTCAAATTAAGGCTAAGCAAGTCCCCCGCCCACCCGAGTGGGGAAGGGGTCGGGACTTCCAGGGACGCCGTCCTGAAGAAATCAGGACGTCGCATGCCTGGGAGATCAGGACTTCAGGGAACCGCGCACTGAAACAAAGCAAACAAAATATCACATGTCTGGGTTCACTTGTGAAAGCTTTCTGGTTCGAGGTTCGAGGTTATCCGACGTCAGCGTCGGCTTCGGCAGCTTTCCTGCTCTGTGGTGCTTCCCGGCAGTTTCGCCTCGCCGAGGGCGTTACGGGGTGGCCTGGGTCGCCCCGAAGGGCCGCCAGAGTCCTGAGGTATGGCCAGGCGGACAGACGTATAGACATGCCCGCGTTGTCTCATTCTCATCCTCTGCAGAGAGCCCCCACAGGGACCCAGGATCGTCAACAAAAGCATCCGAAACGAACATTGTCCGGGAAAAGGGGTCCAGACCTCTGGGGGTGCACGTCATGAACAATCGTGACGTCGGGGGGGTTGGGGATTTCTCGCAAGACCCTCTCCTACAGTCGGGGCCCAGAAGAAGGAACCCTTTTGGTTGGGCAGGGGCTCCGCGTTCCTTAGGTGTTTCACAGCCTGCCTCAAACTTTCCTTATGTTCTCGATGGGAAATCGAGGCTTGACTTATGGAAAAGAAGGGGCCTCGTTCCCGATTTAGCGTTCCTTAGGTCCACGCCCCGACTCCCGACTCTATGTCGGCTGCACGTGACAGCAGTGACTCGTCGCTGGTGTCGACGCCCTCGTCGCTCAAGAAAGCCCAGGCCTCGCAGCGTTGAGGCCGTCCGTGCGTGGTGTTTTGCCGCAGCGCTCGGCCCCTGCACTTCGGGCCCCTGCGCTGGACTCCAGGAGACCGAGTCAGGGGCCGAGTCGGGAGGAGAAGCCGGTAAGGAAAGTGCAGGGACACCGCAACGAAAGGGTCAAGACCCCGGATTCCCCCGCATCTTTGGCATCCTTGGCACCCGGGTTCGCTTCCATTGTCCAGAGGCACTCTTTTTCTTCTCCCGAAAACCGTGGAAAAAAAGGCCCTGCCTCTTCTGGGGCCCATTGAGGTCCGCGGATGGACTGTACAGATCACGTCCTCGGATGTTTGCGCCGCCGTCGGCACCGCCTCGTGTGG